CAAAATTTTATAGATATATAATAAATTATCAGAGTTAAATCATTAAAATTGTATTAAATCAGTAAAAATCAATTAAACTTAAAGAATTTATAAAATAAAACACAAAAGTTCAGCCAAAAATTACAGCATATCATTACAAAAAGATTTCCATGAATTTCTTTTGCTCTCCTAATCCCTTTTGTATGACCTAGAGGTTGTAATAATAATCCCAGTCTGACTCGCCTTGGGATTGCTTAGCTAAATTGAACTGCTTTCTGTAGCTTTTAAGTTCTAGAGACCACCAGGAGGCCTAATTCTACCCCTACTTGTGTTATTGACGTTACTTATGTTGCCGGCACATTCCGTGAGTCGCATTAACGAGGATTTCTAGATCCTCTGCTATTGGTTGAAGGTGCAGAATCATAGGGAACGTTTTCCAGCTCTGCATGTGCACCTGCCAGTTCGTTCTCCTATGATTCCTGAAGTTAATACCTTTATCGGCCCTTTCCTCTATTGTACATTCGATATATCGGTGATCCGAAAAGGAATGTTCTTCGAGAACCCTCCATTGGGTTACCCTGTCAATTAGTTCTTCCGACACAAGTGTGATATCCAGCACTTCTTGTCGGTTTCTTGTAATAAATGTTGGCGTGCTTCCCTTATTACACACCAGTAACTTAGTACCTAGTAGGTAATTAAAGAGACACTCACTTCTGTCGTTTACATCTGTGCTGCCCCATATTGTGTGATGCGCATTTGAGTCGCATCCAAGTATCGTCATGCACTTGGATGCCTCACTATCCCGTACCACCTCTTTTACCATCAGAGGTGGCACCAGCTCCTGCTCATACGGCATATAACACGACACTAGCCGGTAACTGCTTGAGCCCGTTTCCCAGCTTACTGTTGCTGTGTCGTTGTTGCTGTAATTATGTAANATCCCAGCGATAAAATTTAATGTCTCTGGCGTGTTTAGTGCTTGATTTATCGCGCTTTTAGTAGTTTTTAACAGTACCGTTATATGGGGAGTGGGCGGAGTTGCCACCCGATTTGAACTATTTTTACACCGTCAATAGAAGTGCTAAAAACATTTGCTTTCAGTGAATTTTGTTATTATAGCATTAGCGGTTTAGGAGATGTACACCTTAAACCCATAAGAGGCGGGACCACGCCCACTTTAAAAAAAAAAATTTTAACTGCAGTTGCCCCTCCCTAATGTGATCCTGTGTACCAAATAACAGTCTTGAATCTTATTGCGGAGCTTAGTTATGGCAATTTATTTGTTTTTGATTAATGGCGTTTTGTGGGCATGGCAGTTGTCCGATTACGGCTATCTGCAATACCAACCATCTCACGGTAAGAGAAACATGTGTACCAAGTTTCATAAAGATATCTCAAATTTTACTCAAGTTAGCGCTTGGACGAGAGTCGTTCTCAAGACGCTCCCAACAGAAGCCAGGGCGGATGGCCCGCTGCCTCCTGCGGGGGTGGAAGAGAGTGGGAAAGTTCCCCTCTCGAAAATGGACGTCGACCCTGTCCTCTCGGACGCGGTGAGCACGGGGGGCGGATCGGCAAGTGATGGCGGATCCGTCTTCAGTCTCGAGCATCTGTTCGAGGAGGCTGGCGTCGACGATATGGACGATGGTACGGAACTCGCACTGCTGGAGAGGAGTTTGGAGGATGAAGATCCTCCAAATTAACCTCCATCACTCAAAGGCGGCCTCCGCCGATATAGTGCTTCGTCTAGGAAGGGACGAAGCCGACGTTGTCCTTATCCCGGAACCGTGGCTGAGTAGCTATGGGATATCTGGACTAAGGACAAATAGCCATAAGCTCCTGGCGGTAAGCAGCACAGGTAGAACCAGAGCCTGCTTGTTGGTCAGAAATGAACTTAACGTTTTTCTTTTACCTAATTTCAGCAACGAGGACGTCGTCACCGCTAGGCTGGAGGACAGTGCTAGGGAAATCTGGCTTGTCTCAGCCTACATGCCGCACGACGACGAGGTGGAACCACCTCCGAACTTGCTGAGGATGGCTCTGGCAGAGGCCAGACGCAAAGGAGCCGCGGTTATTATAGGCTCGGATGCCCTCGAGCAACCGTCTGGGGAGCTCCGGACACAAACGCAAGAGTGAGTCATTTTTGATTTTTGTGATGTAGACCGTTTATCTGTAATAGGGAACGCCCTACTTTTGTGACAGTAGCAGGACGAAGTCCTGATGTCACGCTAGCCCTAGAAATTGCTTCCTTGATCTCGAAATGGAGAGTTCTAGACCACATCCTTTTCTGATCATATATATTGGTTAGCTTGGACGCTCTCGCCCGAGCATAGAACCCAGAACTCAGGAAACCAATTGGGTCTGTATTGCAGGCTTCGATCAGCTCTCCAACCGCCTGACAGGGATTCGACCTACTGCGACGCGATTAGGAGCTCGTCGAGGTTTTCAGCTCGTTATCAGATCTGCTCTTGAAGCTCCTGTCCTCTGAAAACTCAGAAAGTCGAGGGAAACCCCTTGGTGGACTTCGGAGCTAACGGAGATCGTCTGAGTAGACCATCTTCAATAAGCCCGTAAAGTGGCTCTAGCGACGACTGGGCGTTGACAAGGCCGGATTGGCCATTTACACGTCCGACTGAGAGAGCCAGAGGGCTTCGTGGAAGGCTTCTGCCAGTGAGAGGGGTCACGGCCTCAAGGTTTAGACGCATTCTGCGAAAATCCTCTAGGTGGGGTATCTAGAAATGCAGATAGCGGGTGACTACGAGTAGCGGAGTCGCTGAGGTTACTCAGATGCTCATTTCCACGAATCGCTTGCAAAGGTGCCACTGGGGACTTGGACCTTGGTGAGCGTCATCTTACCTGGGCGCAGAAATTTTAAGCCTTCAAGTCCCGGGTCCTGATTGCATCATACCGGCCAACTACAGCGAACGGTTAAGGTGTCAGTAGCTGGCTGGCCCTATCTACGCGAACTGTGTTAGATTGGGCCATGTCCCGAAGGCCTGGAGACAGGTTAAGGTTCCGTCAGTCCGAAGGCCGGTAAAGCTCATGTAGGTGCAAGTTTCAGACATCAGCCTATCCTCGTTTTGTTGAAAACGCTGGAGACTTATGGATCGGTTGTCATGGTGGGACAGCGCTATAGCAAAGGAATTTGCAGTGGGCACCTTCTCGACATCGAGCGTTATTGAAGGCCCCATAACGTTCGGCCAGAGGCAGTGGTTAAAGCCCTCGAAAGTTTGAGTGGAAATCGAACCTCACAACCTCATTTTCAGTTTCTTTCCGACAGAACTGTTGTAGCGGAGTGGGTGTGCCAAGTCAACCAGATGGTAAATAGGGGGGACTCCGCAAGGGAGAGTACTCTCCTCTGCTCTGGATTTTGGTGGGTAACGGACCTACTTATAGACTCGGGAGCAAGGCTGTCGATTAGCCTTTGCTGATGATGTGGTTCTTATGGAAGGTAATTCCTGAATCGTCTATGAGCTCACGGGGTACCTAAACTTGGTACCAACTGCACAGAAGCGGCCTAGCTGTCACCGTAACCGAAATGGTTTATTCTAAGAGTATAAGATCCCAAATGTGCCTCTCCTCTTCGGGTTCACGTTTCAAACTGTTGATAAGGTGAATACGGCAGCATCCTGGTAGAAAGCTTTCTTGAGGCCGAATCGAGGAGAGAGTCAAGAAGGCATCGGTCGCCTTATATGCTGCAGGGGAGGTATAGGAAAGGTGGGACTTCAACAAAGGTGGTTTTTGCTCTACGAAACCGTAGTCAGCCAATACTGTTCTATGGTGTGTTCGTTTGGAATGCACTCAAAGACTACCCTGGCTAAAAAGCTTGAGCGAGTCCAAGAGCTGCGCGCCATCGGAATTCTCCGGTGCACTCAACACACCAACGATAGCTCTCACGCTATATTAAATATAGCACCGTGGAATTGCCGGTAGATGCAATTGCTGCGAGGTATGCTATTAGGCTCAGGAAGCTGGGTTGTGAAGAGGTCGATAAGGACACGCCGCATTCTCTCCTCCTTCACCTGCATTCCTGAAAATTTGGATCACTGCGTCACAGCGGCCTCTCGAGGCGGCTTTTTCTCTGCTCATATCCCGACGAGGGAGATGTGGAGGGGAAGAAGCTGCTGGAGAAGAGGCGCGGTGAGTTTTTTCACGGATTTCAGGCTCGTTTGGGTGCCTGGTCACAGCGGAATCGCTGGGAATTGCAAGGCCGATGAGCTGGCCAGGGGGGGTACCCTTGCCCCGCTCACATCGGAATGGGATCGAGTTGGTTCTTCACTAACGTCTTGCATTCTCGCTCTGGACCAATGGACCTCGCAGGAGCTCAGCAGACGCTGGTCGGCGACCAGCTCCTGCGCAACTGCGCGATCCTTCTGGCCGAGAGTGGATCGCAGGAGGTCGGGGGATCTTCTCGCCTTGAACAAAGGAACCTCGCCGCCATGGTAGGAGTTCTCACTGGGCACTGTCCAATGGGAACTCATGCGGTGCGGCTTAGAATACTACCCGATGGCAGTTGTCAAAGCTGTATGGAGGAGGGTGAAGTGGAAACATCCCGGCACTTTCTCCTCCATTGTCTGGCTTTTGCTAGGTTGAGATTGAAACATCTCGGCAATCATACTTTTGGCGGTCCAGAAGATCTGGCCGAAACAGATATTGGCCGTCTCAACAAGTTTGTCATAGGCACAAAGCGCTTTGTCGACATGTAAGGGTCTATTGATCCGGCTCATAGGAGTTTTGGGTACCACAACGGACTGGCGTTTAAGCTGTCCAAGTGTGATCCTTCTTAGAATCGACCCGCTAACCTAACCTAACCTAGAGCTTGGACGGACGGACGGGCGGACAGACGGACGGACGGACAGACAGTCACCTGGATTTCAACTCGTCTCTTCATCCTGATCATTTATATATATACACCCTATATCTAACTCGATTAGTTTTAGGTGATACAAACAACCGTTAGGTGAACAAAACTATTATACTCTGTAGCAAGAGGTTGCAAGAGCATAATAAATTAATTTTCCCACCTTAGGTAGAGGCGCTGGCTTCTCTTTGATTTGTATGCCGCCGATTTCTACCATACCAGGTACCATTGGGCGTATGGGACCTCCGCTGAAGTGGCTGTTACAAAATATTATGGATACGTTCTTCTTCATTTGTGAATATGTACGTAGTGTTGTATCGTCGGCTGCTAACTCTCTATTATAAAATTAAAGTAAATTTTATAATTATAAATTAAAACAAGTAAGGAAGGGCTAAGTTCGGATGTAATCGAACATTTTATACTCTCGCAAAGTCAAATGGTATACTCGTTTGAGATTTCTTTGTGGATTGACTGATATTTTCGGTAGAAGGTCAACTATAGGCACTGGGGTCCACATATTTAGTACCTAGGGGCTTGAACAGTTTTGGTTCGATTTAGATCATTTTTGGTGGCATACTTTAAACGTATTATTCACGCAAAGTTTTACCCCGATATAATCATTGTTGCTTGATTTGCATAGTGGAAAGTGAAAGAATCAAGTGGAATTTAAAATTGTGTCATATAGAAAATAGGCGTGGTTGTAATCCGATTTCGCTCATTTTCGCACCATAACATAGAAATTCAAAAAAAAATTTTATGTACCAAATTTGGTTGAAATCGGTTAAGCAGATCGCAAGATATGGGGTTTCACCTAAAAGTGGGCGGTGCCACGCCCACTGTTCCTATAAAGTCATCTCATACCATCCCAGAGATAAAGTTTAATGTCTCTGGCGTGTTTAGTGCTTGTTTTAGTATTTTTTAAGAGTACCGTTATATGGGGAGTGATGGGGCTTGTCACCCGATTTCACCCATTTTCACTGCCGATGCCTCTCCCTAATGTGATCCTGTGTACCAAATAACATTATATTTTTTATTATATATTATTATATTATTGCGGAGCTTAGTTATGGCAATTTATTTGTTTTTGATTAATGGCGTTTTGTGGGCGTGGCAGTGGTCCGATTACGCCCATCTGCAATACCGACCGTCTCACGGTACCAAGAAACATGTCTATCAAGTTTCATAAAGATATCTCAATTTTTACTCAAGTTAGAGTTTGCACGGACGGACGGACGGACGGACAGACAGTCACCCGGATTTCAACTCGTCTCTTCATCCTGATCATTTATATATACATAACCCTATATCTAACTCGATTAGTTTTAGGTGATACAAACAACCGTTAGGTGAACAAAACTATTATACTCTGTAGCAACAGGTTGCGAGAGTATAAAAATTATATTGTTTACTATTTCTTTAAAAATTTCATATGACTCACTTATAATACGCCTCAAATGAAATATCCATGATATTGGTAGCAAAACGCAACAAACCACTCGATACAAAATTTAGCAGACGTAACCCAAAACTCATTATTTCACCATTTTTATGAGGAGTAAATACAGACGGTACATACGATACTTCATGTGGTACTCCAACTAAATCGTTTACCATCTCCATTGGTTGGCCCGTCCAACTGAGTATCATGGGGCAATTTAGTTTGGCCGGAACGATAAATTGGAAATTATTCATAAAATAACCCATTATAACCAAATCATATTTGTTCTTTTAGATTGATTGAAATTTTTTATTCTTAACAACATCCAATTGCAATGTGACCATTATACTGTCAGCTCTCAATAATTTCATCATCATAACGATGGGGTTTTGCTTTTTCATTCCCAAATCGTATAATTCATCATTCACTTCCTTTTGACGCGCTTCCGTTGGCTCGATAATTATGTTGTGTATTTTAGGATGATTGACTTTCGGTTTTAAACTTGAGACAACGGTTATATTGTGACCGCGTTCAGCCAGTGTTTTCATAATTGACATATGTACGATTAAATGTGAGGGGCTGGGACTGAGGAGTACACCAAGAATATTAGCGCCAGAAACTGGTTGCATTCCTGTCGATATGACTAATATCGCCGCTATCACGATAGCGATCAGGCTGCGATCGTCCGACCAATACTTCATTTTTCAATGATTTCGTTTAATGAACTGAAACGAATTGAGCCATGAACTAATATTTTATTCTATATAATCGCTGATGTGATGTGAAGACGCTAGACTTCAACACAATTTTATGAATGCAATGATTGCAGAAATTGTTATTGTAATTGATTTGTAAAAGAAGGCTGCATAAATGTACTTATATGTATATGTACATATTATTTACATACATATATACAAACTACAATTTTTATAGTAAATATGTACACTTGCCTGCATAAATCTGCGTACACCGGTAAAAAATATAAAAACTAACTTCAAACGCAAATGTCTCAGGAAATATAATATGTATTAAGCAATTTTTAAATTTGCTTTATTAAAAAGAAAATTATATTCCATTAACATACTTGTACAGAACTATAATACCTACATTTTTGTTTTAAGGGGAATTATTCGGTGGCATCATGAAATGATATGAAGACAAAAGTCTACATTTAGCAGCACAAGAACAGCAATTCGCGAGGGCAAATCGATAAGGGAAATTGGAAAAATAGTTGGCCGAACATTTATCATCGGTACATAGAGTGGTAAAATATTACATTTTAACTGGAACTATTTTATCAAAACCACGTGCTGGGCGTCCAACCATTTTAACAAATCGCTAAAACAAGCGTGCCGTACAATTAGTTTAGCAAAATCCAAGGACGACTGCACATCAATTGCAACTGGAAGTGCAGTGTTTGTTCCAGCAAGATAACCACCCCAAACATACTGCCCAAAATATAAAGCTCTGGCTTTTGTATAATGTAAAAAACAAATTGCAAACGCTTCCTTAATCTGCGGATCTAAGCCCCATTGAGCATTTATGGGACTTGCTCGAGCGAAGAATCCGAAAACACGTTATAACATCAAGAAGTATTGCTCAAAGATATTATAATGGAGAAATAGGCGAAAATTACGCCAGAAAATACAGCGAAACTTGTGGATTCTATGCTCAGACGTCTTATAGAAGTACTAAGGAGAAATAGATATTCCAGATATTAATGGATCGTATAACATTATTTTTTAAACCTATTTTCAATTATAGTTTTTGGTACGCAGACTTATGCGGTTGCTTTTTTATATTGTTTTGAATTAAAACTAATTTTTACTTTAATTTAATGAATACAATAAAATTTAATGTTAAAAGCTTGGTTGAATACATATCAGATTTCCTGAGAAATTTTCATTTAAAGTTAGTTTTACGAATTTAATGCTGTACTCATACTTATGCGTGAAAGTGTACACATATACATACTACAATATATTCGAGATTATTATTTGCGGTGACGCATCCATTATCAATTAAGTTAATAAAGTGAAATTACACAATAATGAATGAAATTGCTAATTCATTATATACTATAACCATAATTACCGTTTAGATAAAGTATATCAGTACTCTTAAATGCAAAATTTTCAATCTGAATTCCATTTCATTTGAATTAGACTAAAAGTATCAAAAAGGTTCCAAATCGATAACGTTGATATTGGTTTATTTATATATATATTATACATACCACATGTATCATTATTACAATATATGAATGTCAACTTTTATAGAGTCTTGATTTGAAGTATATTTATTTATTCAATTTAGATATAGTATACAAATATAATATCTAACAAGTAAGGAAGGGCTAAGTTCGGATGTAACCGAACATATTATACTCTCGCAAAGTCAAATGGTATACTCGTTTGAGATTTCTTTGTGGCTGGAACAGTTTTGGTTCGATTTAGACAATTTTTGGTCACAAGGTGGCATACTTTAAACGTATTATTCACGCAAAGTTTTACCCCGATATAATCATTGTTGCTTGATATCCATAGTGGAAAGTGAAAGAATCAGATGGAATTGAAAATGGTGTTATATGGGAAATAGGCGTGGTTGTAATCCGATTTTGCCCATTTTCGCACCATATAATAGAAATATAAAAATAACGTTATACACCGAATTTGGTTGAAATCGGTTAAGCAGATCCCAAGATATGGGTTTTCACCTAAAAGCGGGCGGTGCCACGCCCACTGTTCCCATAAAGTCATCTCATACCATCCCAGAGATAAAATTTAATGTCTCTAGCGAGTTTCGTGCTTGATTTATCGCGCTGTTAGTAGTTTTTAACAGTACCGTTATATGGGGAGTGGACGGAGTTGCCACCCGATTTCAACTATTTTCACACTGTAGGTTCTACATTTGCTTCCAGTTAATTTTGTTATTATAGCTTTAGCGGTTTAGGAGATATGCACATTAAACCTATTAGGGGCGGGACCACGCCCACTTTAAAAAATTTAACTGCAGATGCCCCTCCCTAATGTGATCCTGTGTACCAAATGACAGTCTTGTATCTTATTGCGCAGCTTAGTTATGGCAATTTATTTGTTTTTGATTAATGGCATTATGCCCATCTGCAATACCAACCGTCTCCCGGTACCAAGAAACAAGTCTACCAAGTTTCATAAAGATATCTCAATCTTTACTCAAGTTACAGCTTGCACGGACGGACGGACAGACGGACGGACGGACAGGCAGTCACCCGGATTTCAACTCGTCTCTTCATCCTGATCATTTATATATATATAACCCTATATCTAACTTGATTAGTTTTAGGTGATACAAACAACCGTTAGGTGAACAAAACTATTATACTCTGTAGCAACAGGTTGCGAGAGTATAAAAAAAGAGAACACTGGCTGCCAGGGCCTACGGCTCAGCTTTTCGAAATGGTATTGTTATTATCATTATGTTATATTATGGTATTTGTACGTGCGCAATTTATTTATTTTGATTTATTTGTGTACCTATATTTTTTAATTAGATTTTCTTGCTTAAGTCTAGTTCCTTGAAAAATTGGTTTATTTATTTCGATGTTTGTAAGTAGATCTCTTGGAGCAACTTGCCCGAAGATTTTTTCTCGCTTGGGTTTTAATTTTTTGCAGTCTTGGATTAGATGGTCTATGGATAATAATCCTTTGCAGAAAGGATATGGTTTTTTGGGAGTCCCTGTTAAAAGGTGTTCGTGTGTCTGCCTTGGGGTTCATTTGGGTATGTTGCCCTTGTGCGCTTTGGAGTTTTGCTTTATCTGGAAGAAAATGTCTGATGTTGTTTAATAAGGGGTTGTTGTTGTAAATGTTTTTCACCGCTTCTATGACGGACATGCTATCAGTGCAGATTGCAAATTTCCCTTTGTTGTGGCTTGCAAAACCCAATGCTTGTTCAATGGATGTCGCTTCCGCTGTAAATATCGAACAATATGGTTCGAGTATGCCTCCAGGTATCAATGATCCGTCTTCGTGTACTATGGCAAATGTTGTTGTAAACTCGGATTTGGAGCTACCCGTGACTATCATATTCCAGTTTTGATTTTTATATGAAACCGGTAAGTCGTGGAATAATTTTCGATGAATGGCAGGGTTGACATCGTTTTCATTATTTTTGTGGAGTGTGATGTCGTAGCTCGATGACTCAAGCATCCTCGGGGATTTTTGGATGGCTTTTATGCAGTGCTTACTGATTTGTAACATTTTTCAATATCTGGCACATCTGCGGATAGTTGTTTTTTGTTATAATTGGGATGAGTTTATAGGTGGCATCACGCAGTCTGTCTTTTATGGATGGTAGTCTGGCCTAGGCTAGTACCCTGGTGGTATGGGGCATTTCTTTGGTTTAGGTTGGTGTTTGCGCACCATCCGTAAATTGGTAGTCCATAATCGATTTTTGATAGTATTAGTGCTCTAGTGACGTTTATTAGTGTATGAATATTTATAAAAGATTTATTTGATGTAAGATATTTGATGATGTTTAATCTGACAGCCAGGTTTTTTCTTATGGCAATACATTGTTTTTTAAATGTAAATCTTTTATCGAAAATAATTCCTAATATTTTGAGATCATTCACAATTTCGATAGGTTTGTTTTTGAACATAAGATTAGTAGGGTGACAATTGGTTTTTTTGCAGATTGTAATATTTTACATTTTTCTATAGAGAGAAAGGTGCCAGAGTGCAGTCCCCACATTATTATTTACAATTTTTATATCTTTGATTTTAGTGAAAGTTATAGCATCGTCTTCATAAAGCAAAAGGCTTATTTGATACTTGTTCAAATGATATGATAAATAATACTACTGAAAGTTATGATCCTTGTGGAATACTATTGTATAGGTTAAAACGGTATATTTAAAAAATTGCGACGCACTGTATCAACCAAAACAATTTTTGTGAATAACATCAATATACTTAAGTAAATTGTTTTGACTAGTATTTTTTAATGAATACGATTGAATTATACCTGTTTTTATATATTTATTTTGGTTTTTTGTTTAAATTATTTGAATTTGATTATTTCGAAATATATTTTTATTGTTATATTGTTAATGTAATTACTAACCATATATGGGTAAATATAGGCCTCTTTGGAAACCGAACACCCAAATAAAGATCGGTAACGCGCCCACATTGCAACATCAGAGGTGGTGAAGAAAAGCAATAAATATGCAATAAACTTTTAAATATGAAGAGTTTTCATTAATGTTTATATGCAAAATACTTTCTAAAGCTTCTGCAGCAAACGTAGTTCCACTTTTCGGAGGAGTACTCTTACACAAGGAAATGATTTCACCACAAAAAATTATTAACGGATTTCACGAAAGTTTAATATCAGGAGACTTGAAAATAGCAGAATTGAACATTTTCTGTGTTAAACGAGAAATTTTATGCAAATTTCAATGAAAAGAAATGTAAGCTTACAGATTCGTTTATTTACAATGCGGAAATGGCTTTAATTATAATTTATAGATATTCTGTATATATTTGATATCAAAGCACATAAGTACTCGTATATTTGTATAAATTTTGCTATTTCATGATGAATTCCATAAAATCTTTAGTATAAAAATTACACATTTACATATATGTATATTTATTTGCTCTGGTCATTAAAAGTTTTGATAACATCTTATAAGACCAAGTGGTCGCACATATGCTCATACAGCTCATACTACAT